GGTCAAGTTCCCAAAGAAATCTGTCAGTACCTTTGTATTCAGATCAGTGTCACTTACTTTCAGCTACACCTATGACATGATGGGAAAATTAAATTTTCTCCGACAGTGGCCAAGTTCAAAATACCTTCTACATCAGAGCAGATTGCTTTTTGTCTGCTCTGATGCTGGGCCTCTTGCCTTCAAATCCCAGCTCCAACATTTCTGTTTTAAATGACCTTGGTTTTATTATTAGGTAACCTCTCTGAGCCTCCATTTCCTCATCTGAAAGTGAGGATGATAATTAATTATACCTTCATTATTGGGTGTGGATTGAGAATTGAGTTACTATACTTAAAGACAAAAATGGAACTACAATGCCATTTTTACTTTAACTCTTCAAAATGAGAGTCTGATTTTCTTTCCTAGTTTTTTGCCCTAAAAGAAAAAACATACTAGTCTGTAGATTTCATTTCCCAACATGCCAGAGAAACCAGAGATTGAATTACATAAGCGAAACATGAAAAGTCAATTTCATGTGTATGTATTACTGATGCTTGATTATCCCAAAGTGGCCAGACAAGATTAAGAAGCCACTTTTTACTGTTTATCTAAGGTTAGCATTATACAATTATTTGCAATCACAAGTATTCACTGGTTCTATACTTCCACTTTTAAAAACCTTGTTTTTTAAACGATGTAAACCAAAGATGTTTGTTAATAATGATTATATCTTTGTGCTATACTTGCAGATTATAATTGTAGATGACTGGTTTTTTTAGATGTGCCTGCATTAGTAAAGTTTTATATTGCATTTTCTATAATCAGAAATAAAGTGACGATTATACAAAAAGTTATTGTTAAAAAAGTCTCCTGTATCTGTGTTTTATGAGTTTCCATCCAGTGATTATTAGTGAAACAATCACTTGATAATTTCAGGTTTGGGGTGTTTTCCTAAAATAAGTGCTGTATCTCCACTCTTTGCTTGCTTTCATACTGTACCTTGCATGTTTTCATCTGTTCCGAGCATTCAGTAGAGCAGACCACATTTCTTACATAGCATGTCCAAATTTTCTCTCAGAATCACTGGATGGTTAGAGTAATACTGTACCTCATAGAGGAGCTAGCTCAGGGGTGGGAACATTGATGGCTGTGGGTCATCATTATCCCCACAGAGTACTTTAAAAGCCTGTGTGACTAGTAACATATAGTGCTACAAAACAAGTAGCTTTAGTGCCCAGAGTCTTACTTTCGGCCAGATAGTCAAATAATATTAATTAGTGACCTGTAATGCCTGCAAACAAATATGCCTGTGAGAAAGGCCTTTATTGGCTAAGTTTAAGCACTGAAAACAGAGGCATTGGGATTGGAGGTGGTGTTTGTACCAAAAACTTGATATATAAAAATTCATTATAATCACTATAAATTACTGAGTGTTTATATGCTAGGGCCTTAAGTAGATGTATTAGATCTGTGTACTTCAGGGCTAGAGAGAAAGCTGGGGAGGAATTTCTGGTAGAAAGGGACCCGAAACAGAACCATTTGAAAGCAAGGTGTCCATCTGTGAAGCGGCTGAGCGCTAAAAGCCTCTGCCTGCCTGAAATAGCGCATACTGACGACAGGATCCGGGGTGACCACCTCACAGCTGGACGTGGAAAATGATAGTTCACTTAGATTTTTAAAGGAAGATTATTTGGTATAATTGGGAAAGAGGAAATCCCTCATGCTTTGTTTTTTCCTCCCTGAATACAAATAACGCCAAGTCTTGAAGACTTCTGGGTTCTGACCGTTTTAGGGGAGGATCCAGAGTGAGCACCACAGTTTATTTGTAATTTCTTGTCATGAAAAATATTTGAAACAACAGCTCTGGTTTTGGATTTTGTTTTCATCAGGTTACTAGAACCCAGCTATGTGTTCATATGGTATTTCCTATCTTTGGGTCACACTGATTTTCAACGCATTTCGTCTTTTGTTTTCAGAAGGAGTTTTGGAACACTTACACAAAAGCACAACAAGGAGAGAGCAACAGAGGAAGTGACTGGTTTCAGTTTTACCTTACCTTCCCATTAATCTTTGGCCTCTTCATTATCCTCCTCGTCATTTTCCTCATCTGGAGGTGCTTCCTCAGAAATAAAACTCGCAGGCAGACAGTGACTGAAGGCCACATTCCTTTCCCTCAGCACCTCAATATCATCACTCCGCCTCCCCCACCAGACGAAGTGTTTGATAGCAGCGGACTGTCCCCAGGCTTTCTGGAATATGTCGTCGGGCGCTCGGATTCTGTTTCCACCCGCCTGTCCAACTGTGACCCCCCGCCGACCTACGAGGAAGCCACTGGCCAGGTGAACCTGCGGAGGAGTGAAACAGAACCTCATTTGGATCCACCCCCGGAATATGAGGACATCATCAACTCCAACTCAGCCAGTGCCATTGCTATGGTGCCAGTGGTCACCACCGTCAAGTGAAACTACAAACCTCTTTTTACTATAATTGTTTTTAAAATACTAATGAAAGAACTTTCTAGCACTTTACCACTACATAAATGTCCATTTGACTTATTGGACTCTGACAGCATACCACTTTGCATTCTGATTTGATTTTCATTAGTTTTATTTCCTACTATAAAATCATTATCTATGCTCATTTTTGCTAATGGAAATATGTGAAGAGGGAAAACAGGCTAGTGGGGGGTCTTCATGTGTACACACACGCGTGTGTGCGCATCAGCCCAGTATATGCACAACTCACTTAAAACACTATTAACTTCTGTCTAAATCACCCATAAAGGGAACATTACTCACCAAAATTGGGGGGGGGCGGAAGGCACCAACCATTTGTGTCATAGCCAGCAATATGCTGTTGACTTTTGAAAATAAGATGACCTGAGCATGTCTTCTAATTCTTACAGGTTTTCATTAACCTCCTTTTTCTTAAGGTTTTCTGACCTTAAAAAAAAAAATGAATGTAGTCAATCTCGACTTTAGAAACATCTCAGAAAGATAATGAAGATGGTACAATAAACACGAATTTGCTTATTAGTGGCATCGGGCTGGCTTTGTAGGAGGGACTTTCTGTTGACTGCCTCCCCCACAAGAATTAAACAGTATTTGCTTATTATCTTTGAATGTCTCATGCTATTTGTATTAACATCTTGGTAGCGTGGATTTCCTGACAACGGAATACTTTCTAAAATAGACATAGGTATTAATGACAGGGAACAGATGCAGATTTCTCCTTTGCTCTCTGGGGACAATATTTTCTTCCTCGTTGTTTCACTGCATTTTAGTCTACTCCCTCTGCTCCCACCACAGAATCTTCAAACACCTAGGAATTTAGCTAAAATTCTTGATGTTATTTTCTTAATGGTTTTGTATAGACTGAAGCTTTTGTCTCACGATGATTAGGAGGTAATTTTCCATTAAATTAAGAAGTGTGATTTTTATATTGTTCTCCAGTAGGTGGCGGAAGAGTGCAAAATCTGTGCTGTGGCAGGTGCACAATAAATCTGTTATAGCTGCACACAGATCTCAGTGTTGGTATTTCATTTTGTATTTTCATCAGATTTTACCTGCAGGATTTTTACTTTTCCCTTGGAGCGGGGGGAATTGGCTGTGAATGAACTGCAACAGCAATTGGCTCAGAAAAGAAAGAAACCAGTTGTCTGGTGTGAAGTTCTATTATGTGTGCACTGATGGAAAATTCATCCCATCAGTCAGGGACGTGTCTGTGCCACTCCCCAGACTCCTGAGTGTTGGGTAAATTGGTTGACGAGGCAGAGGGAGTGCAGGTTGAGGAAATGTCATACCCTGTTGCCTCCGTCTCCATCCCCACCAACCCCTGCCCCAAGCCCAAGGAAGGAGGACCCTAAATGAGGAGTCAGATGACCTGAATTCTAATCCCACCCTGCCACGTACTTGCCAGGCTACCCTGGGAAACACCCATTTCAGACCCTCAAATTCCTCACCTCTGAAATGGTGACCGTATTTTTTGTCCTGCCTTTGTCCTGGGGCTTTAAAAGGATCCAATGAGATGGTGTGCATGAACGTAATCTGTAAGATGTGACGAGTTATCTAGGTGTAAGGTCGTAGCATTGTCCTCACTGCCCTTAAGGCAGAATCTTTGCCCTGTTTCCCTAAAATTTCTCCGAGTTTTCACACAGTGAGAAATAGACTAGGCTGCCCCATAAATGGCGAACGTGTTCCTAATCTGAGCGTATGGCCTCTTAAACTCCTGCCATTCTCTGGTCTACACCAAAGCTGTGCCAACTTAACGACGACTGCCAGCTCAGCACAAACAGGAATCAACAGATGTTGGCAAGAGGAACTGCGATGTATGTGGTTAGTTAATAGGTTTTATAGCTTTCATGAATTAAAAATATTGAACCTGGTCTCAGCAGAAATGACAATAATGTTTTAAATTTGGCTGCAAGTACATGGTGATCTTTGGCTTCTGTTTAAAGCTGAAAGGCTGAGTGTCTGATCCACTGATTTGTATTTGTGTGTGTGTGTGTGTTTCGGTTTATTTTTAAAAGAAAATTAAGGTTCTTTTTGTGTGGACTTTTTTTTTCCGGTCATTAATATCAGGCCTTAGACTAAACCAGCAGTTTTCAAAGTATGGCCTACGAAGCCCTGGGAGTCCCTGAGGAACTTTGCAAGGATCTGTGAGATCAAAGCTGCTTTCCTGGTGATACACAAACATTGTCTTTTTACACTCTCTCTCTCAAAAAAGTAGTTTAAAAAGTAAGTGCCATCTTCCCACAAATTATTTTTCTCTTTTAAATAATATAGCTCCTTTCTTTAAAATGTTATTTATGTTGGCATGTAATGGACTTCTTAATTTTTAAGTGAATACTGTCTTCAGTTTTATTTTCTAATACAACAAATACCGGTAGATATGAAGTCCAGAAACAAAAGCTCCTTGGCGTCCAGCTCCCCAGTAAAATGTTAAAAGTATAAAGGGATCTGGAGACCAAAAGTGTGACAATTACAGGGTTAGACAAAGGAGCAGAATATATTCTTGCAATTTTATTTTACATTTTAAACTCCCAGTATTGGATTTAATGCTGCCTCTTAGAGATACCTGAATTTAAGTAAAAGAATGAATGTTGATCCTTAAAGCAAAATCCAAACGCTTACACTGATCAATGACTACATCTTGTCAGACTGTTGGTCAAAGAAAACACTCTCCTCCAGTCATAACTGGCCTCAGCCACAGGTCTCACAGCAGCGCTCACATGATGCTGACAAGATAAATAAACACTGCCTTTAAGAAACCTTCTCTTAGGCTTGTTCGTTTGATTTTGGTTTGGGTTTTACATTTCTAAAAACCCCTTTGCTACCCTATCTGGTTTTATAAACCGAGTTTCTTAACATTTATTATAAAGGGGCTTGTCTGGAATACTATATATTTTTTATGCTTTTGCCTTTCTTACCTGATTGATATTACATTCACCTTTGATCATTTTTAATAAAGGTTTATTTTTACAGATTTATGTAGTACCTTTCTGAAGCAGTAACTAAATTGAATCAACCAGTTTGCATCTAAATGAAAGAATGGGTTTCGTGGTCTTTCCTAGTGGAATGGTTTCCGGCCTCCACCTGCAGTGGTTGGGTCTGGAATCCCCGAAGTGGCACTTTTCTGCCTCCCTGCTTTGAATGTCACAACGAATTGTATCTGCTTAAAGTAAGTGAAAGGATTTCTTTTTTTCCTATCTCCTGTACAAATACAGATGCTGTGTTTGATTCATTGTTAATGATGACTTCAAGATGGATGATCTGCTATGATAACTGTAGAGGGAGCTTTTAACTTGGTTCTCTGTAAATAGCATGTATTTTATTATAATATTTCACATTTTAAAATACTTGGTTTACATTAAATTATGGTATTTAACTTTTTATGTTTATACTAGGTAAGGTTTTTCTTATGTTTCTGTGTTTTTGGTATGCTAAATAAAGCTATTTTTAAACCCAAGAGATTTCTTCTGCTATGTGTTAATTATGTTATGGTTAGGTGATAAGCATGCTGCATAAGCTCTTATTAATTATGATCTTTTTAACGCGATAAAATGATTAATTTCTTTTTGTTCTTGTATATTTAGGGAATACTGCTCAGTAAAGAAATCATAAATTACCTGGTAAAAAACTCAGGGTGTTCTCTGTGTAAGAAAGAATTTGGTGAAAAACTCAGGGTGCTCTGCATGAGAAAGACGTATCTGTACCACTTTTGAATGATGCTGCCACGATACAAAATGGCAAGACTCGCTCCAATGGGATAGACCGAGCTGCTTGCTATAGTGCAGTTTGTCAATTAGTGGGAACAGTGTTGTCTGCAGATACAAAGGAGCTGGGTTCTTCCTCCTTAGCAGAAAAGCTTGTGGTTGACATTTAAGGAAATGAGAAAGGGAAGCACAAGATGGGAATATTTGTGACCACCAGGTATCTTCCTAAGTGCAGTTACTTGAAGTAACTAAAAGCTGACGTGATATACCATTAACCAAGCAAATATAAATGTGGCTTGATCTTTATGGTATAAAAAATTAAAACTATTTACTTATATCCAAGGAAGAATTTTAAGTATAAATTGTAGGTCTAAATACACCTTTTATAAGCATAAGTTTTCAGAGAGTTGTCTAAAATGTCATAAAAAGGTACTTTTAAAAATATATAGCAATTTATACGGGTAGCAGCAAGATGGCAGAGTAGAGAGACTCACAACTCGCCCTCTCCCACAAACACACCAAGAATTACATCTACAAACCCTCGGACTCGCACAGAACACCTACTGAACTCTGGCAGAGTGTCTCTCGCTTTGAAGTACAGGAGGATTCTCACAAAATCCGATAAACAAGTTTATACTGTAAAGCACAGGGAACCATATTCAATAGCTTGTTAACTTATGGTGAAAAAGAATATGAAAATGAATATGTGTGTTCCTATATGACTGAAGCACTGTGCTGCACACCAGAAATTGACATTGTAAACTGACTATACTTCAATAAAAATATTTTTATATATATAGAAATTTATAAAAATTAATGGAGAGATCAATGCATCCATGAAACCCAACACCTAGATCAAGACATTTCCAGCACCCAGAAGGCTCCCTCTTACCCCATCTACTTCTTAAAGATAACACTATTCTCACATCTGTCATAAAAGATCAATTGTTAAAATTTCAAACTTGGCTGTGGCCATATGGACTTGCTTCTTTTCCTTTTTTAAATTCTTAAGTCTATTTCCAAAAAGTTCCAGCCACAAGTTCCAGATCTGTTCTCCCATCTCTTGACTCTCCTTGAAATCACCTACTCTTGCTAAGCCTTTTCCACATACCTGAAGCTCTCTGAGAGCACCTACTCCTTAATGCTTGTCTTTCTGCTGTAACTCTTATCATCTGCCATTTCCTTAAATTTTGTATGGTGACATTTTGTTCTCAGCAATTTTATTTACTTTATGTACTACATTTTTATAGATCAAAACCTATAATCTGGCCCCACAGGCTTAGCTAACCTTATTTCTTTCCATTGCTCCTATCTTTACAAAGTGCCTACCTTGTGTTAGACACTAATGGGGTGAGACAGCAATGGTGCCGATAGCCCTTGTCCCTGGGGGTTAGACTGGGCTAACGTTCTCACCTTCTAATTTAGTGTAACCCTAATCCCACCCCATCTCACAGAGATTCTTCTTGCTCAAAGTCCCATGGTGTTTACAATCAGTCATCTTTACCATGCAGTCTTGTGTATCAGGCTGTGCTGTGATTTTTATAAGTTTTTAGCAATGGAAACTAAGCTTCAAAAATTTTCCCCTAGAACCCTAGACTACTGTGGTTGACTAGTAGTGGGAAGTGGGAAGCTTGGAACCTCACCATCTGTGACCTTCCTTGTCAATCCCCCTTACTTCAGGTCAGTCCAAGTTCACTCTGCAAACATCAGAATTTGATGAACATAATTGGAAAACCACTATAATACAACATCTACTGATGTCCACTTTCATAGCCCCTCATCTTAACACACACACACACACACAAGCACTAACAGACTGCTTAGGGTTCAAAATGTTCTTTCTGGACCAACAGTTCCCAACTCACAAGTATACTGCACTGGCAAGCAACATACACTATCTATTAAAATTACGGCAGAGAGGCAGACTGTTTACATCATTTTCATCATCACCATACTTTTGGCTACATTTTCAATACTCAGTCCTCTTGCATTTGTGGAAATGATAGTTTCATAAACCACATTTAAAAATAAGTAGGGAGTAGTGTCAATGAAGACAGCATGGAATAGCGAACTCCAAAAGCATGTTCTTCCAGAAAAGTAGCAAACAACCTGCCAAAAACTGTGAGAATCAACTTCATTAGAACACTGGAAACTACAGTTTATAGCAACCAATCAAGACAAAACCTTTAACTTACTCTGGCCTTATCCCCTGCTTCCCTTCTCAGTGGCATCATGGAAGACAACAGCTCACTTCCCAGATATAGGTTCGTGGGAGAAAATGGACCTTATTCTCAAAGAATTGTGGTTGCTCGTTTAGCCCTGTATTTTGGCTTCCTGAAGTACCAGCTCAAAGGGCTTATCTTTATTTCACCTTACTTGGAACTCTCTGAACTTGGAGGCACCTATGGGGACAGGGGTGAGGGAGGCAGTCAAAAATACTTAGCGGTAAAAGCATTAACTGCTACCAACTGGACAAGGGATAACAGTGGGATAAACAGAGAAACTGAAAATCTTGGGAGGAAAGGCTAGGAAATGAAGACAGTAAGGGCTTTGAAAAGCTCCCACATTGTCTTAGGAATATAGAAAGCCAAGCACATATCCAGAGCTGGATGCATGCTCTAAAAAATCTGAGAGGCTTTGAACGCTCACCTTTGACCTTCAGGTCCTCCATAAGCAAGAAGTAAAGTGATGACAGAGTTGTGTATTGTATGGCTGGAAGTTGAAGGCTTCCTCCGACACCAAGAGCCCATCTGCAAAAACTAGGACACTTCTTTTATGATGGGGCTACAGGGGGCACGCTAGGTGTTTAAGGAACTGTCAGATCACTAGCTGACTGCTACAATAACAGAAATGAGACTTCAGTGGCCACATATCACAGACAATATAGACTTTACAAAAGAGTTCAAAATGTCACTAAAACAACAAACTACTAGAATAGCAAAAGCAAACCCTGAGGAGGGGGGAGAATCTGATTCCCAGAGTTGCTGTTCTCTAATATTAATTCATAGCTCCTCCTACTGCTTACTAAAGTACATGGTCCCCGCCGTCTACGAAGCCCGAGCAGAGAACCCAGGCAACCATGGAGCCCGTCCTACAGCCTCGTGGGGTCAGGGAACTGAGCCAACAGTCCTGTCCAACAGTTCTCAGCCAATAACACACCCTCAGCCTCGAGCTCAGGCAGTGGCCTCACCGAAAAATAGACCCAGATGGCAAGCCCCATCAGCTCAAGGATTTTACCAGTAGGTATGTCCAGGAACCCAAACTGAGCTGACTGGTTAAGAGCTGTCTCTGCCAAAGCAAGTCTGTAAAGTCTGAGAAAGGAAACCACTTAAATATGTGCAGATACCAATATAAGGAATCAAAGATCATTTTTTAAAAAACCGTAAAAATGAAACCACCAAACGAAACTAATAAAGCTTCAATAACTGACCCTAAAGAAACAGAAATGTATGAACCATCAAAGAATTCAGAATAATCTGTTTAAAGAAGTTAAATACAAGAATACACAGACAACTCAATGAAATTAGGAAAACAATACATGAACAAAAATAAAAGTTCAAAGAGATAAAAACCATCAAAAATAGACAATAAAAACAAATCCTAGAGCTAAAAAGTATAAAAATATAATGAGTAAACTAAAGAATTCAATAGAGAGTTTCAAAAGTAGACTCAACCATGCAGAATAAGGAATTAATGCTTGAGAAGACAGGAATATTGAAATTACCCAGAGGAGAAAAAAGAATGAAAAGAGTAAAGACGCTGATGGGACATACAGGACACAATGGAGAAAAAAAATAATAATACCTGCATTATGGGAATTCCAGAAAGAGAAAGACAAAGAGACAGAAACTGTATTTAAAACAATAATAGCTGAAAACCTCACAAACCAAGGGAGAGAAATGGACATCCAGACCCATGAGTCTTAAAGGATCCCAAATAGGTTGAACTCAAATAGGGCTATGCCAAGACACATTACAATTAAATTGTCAGACGTCAAAGACAAAGAATTTTGTAAACAGCAAGAGAAGTTGCAGACAAGGGAGCCCCCATAACACTAACAATGGAGTTTTCAACAAAACTATTTCAGGTCAGGAGAGAATGGAATGATATATTCAAAATTTTGAATTAAAAAAAAAACTTAACCAAGATTTCTATACCTAACAAAGCTGTCCCTCAGAAATCAAAGTGGGATAAAGACTTTCTCAAACAAACAAAAGCTGAGGGAGTTTGTCACCACTAGACCTGCGATATAAAAAATGCTAAAGGGAGTTCCCTGAGTGGAAGTAAAAGGACAATAATAAACGTCATAAAAACATAAAAAGGTAGAGTGAAACTCACTGGTAATGGTAAATGTATAGTCAAAGTTAGATTCTGTAATATGATAATGGTGGTACATAATTCACTTACCACTCTAGTTTAAAAGTTAAAAACAAAGACAGTAAAAAGTACCATAACTACAATAATCTGTTATTAGTTACACAATATGAAAAATATATAAACTGTAATACTAATAACCAAAAACGTGAGGGAAGGAGAAGTAAAAGTGTCAAGCTTACACATTCAATTGACGTTAAGCTGTTATCAGTGTAAAATAGGGTGTTGCAACTTTAAGCTGTATTATGTGAGTCTCATGATGACCACAAGGACAAAATCTTTAGCATTACACAAAAGAACATGATTAAGAATTCAAAGTATACAGATACCAAGACATCAAAATACACACAAAAAAAGACAGCAGGAACAATGCATTTACAAAACAGTCAGAAAACAATTAAGGAAATGACAATAGTGAACCCTTACCTATCATTCATTACTCAATGTAAATGAAATAAAATTATCCAATCAAAGGACATAGAATGGATGAATGGATTTAAAAAACAGTATCAATGATACACTGCTTACAAGAGACTGACTTCAGCCTTTCAGACACACATACTAAGAGTGAAGACACAGAAAAAAATATTTCAAGCAAATGGTATCCAGAAAACACAGGAATAGCTAGCAGACTTCAAACTAAAAACGGTAAAGAGAGACAAAATACATAGCAAATTTAAGTATTTATTCACCCAACATTGGTGTACCCAAATATATAAAGCAAGAACTAAAGGACTTAAAAGAAGAAATAAACAACAATACAATAATAGTTGGGACTTTAATTACCCACTCTCAACAATGGAGAGATCATCCAGATAATCAGTAAGGAAACAGTGGATCTGAACAACAACATACACCAAATGAACCTAACAGACATAAACATAGCATTCGATCTGACATCAGCAGAATACACATTCTTCTCAAGCAGACGTGAAACATTTTCCAGGATAGACCGTATGTTAAGCAAGTCTTAGCAAATTCAAGAACATTGAAATCATACTAAATATCTTTTCTGACCACAGTGGTATGAAATGAGAAGTTAATAACAGGAGGAAAACTGAAAAATTCACAAATAGTTGGAAATATAAAAACACTTTCCTGAACAACCAGTGGATCAAAGAAATTACAGAGGAAATAACAAGTAACTTGAGACAAATGAAAATGGAAACAGCATACCAAAACTTCTGGGATATAGCAAAAGCAATGCTAAGAGGAAGTTCATAGCAATAAACACCTACATTTGGAAACCAGAAAAATTTCAAATAAATAACCTAACTCTGTGCTTTAGGGAACTAGAAAAATAAGAAAACCAAGCCCAAAGTTAGCAGGAGGAAAATAATACAAGAGAATAAATACATGAAATTGTGAATAGGGAAATAATATAAAAATATGTATTATAAAAAATATATAATATATAAAAATTAATCAAACTAAAAGTTGTTTCTTCGAAAAGGTAAACAAAATTGACATACCTATAGCTAGACTAACCAAGGAAAAAAGAGAAAGGATCCAAATCAACAAAATTATAAATAAAAAGTTAGACATTAGAACAGATACCACAGAAATACAAAGAATCATGAGGCTACTGTGATTAACTATATGCCAAAAAACAGGACAACCTGGAAGAAATGGAAAAAGTATTGTAAAAATACAATCAGCATGACTGAATCAGGAAGAAAAGAAAATCTGAACAGACCAATTACTAGTAAAGAGACTGAATCAGTAATCACAAATTCCCAAAGAAAAGCCCAGGACCAGATGGCTTCAGAGTTGAATTTTACCAAACATTTAAAAAATTAATGCCACTATTTTCCAAACTCTTCCAAAAAAATCAGAGAGGAGAAACACTCCCAAACTTACCCTGCTACCAAAGCCAGAAAAGGACATTACCAGAAAAGTACAGACCAATATCCCTGATAAATATAGATGCAAAATTCTCAGTAAAATACTAGTGAACTGAACTCAGCAGCACATTAAAAAGATCATTATTCACCATAATCAAGTGGGATTTATCTCTGGGATGCAGGGATGGTTCAACACACATGAATTAATCAATGTGATACTTCATATGAATAGAATGAAAAGTAAAAACCACATTATCAACTCAGTGGATGTAGAAAATGCATTTAACAAAATTCAACATCAGTTCATGATAAAAAAAAAGTTCTTTACAAATTAGGTACTGAAGGGATTTACCTTAATATAATAATAATATAAAACATTGTCATACTGTTGACAAGCTAACAGCAAATATACTAAATGATGAAAGGTTGAAAGCTTTCCTCTAAGATTAGAAATAAGACAAGGGTGCCCACTCTCACCACTTCCATTCAACAATGCACTGCCTAGAAATTCCAGTACTATCAGGCAAGAAAAAAAAGATAAAATCCATCAGAATTTGGGGGAAAAAAAATAAAACTGTCTCTATTTCCAGATGACATGATTTTATACCTAGAAAAATCCTAAAGACTTCACCAAAAAAGGTTCACTCTAATCAACAAATACAGTCAAGTTTCAGGATACAAAATTAACATGCAAAAATAAGTAATGTTTCCATACACTAACAAAGAATTATCTCAAAATGAAGTAAATGATCCTATTTACAATACCATCAAAACCAATAAAATACTTAGGAAAAAAATATAGCCAAAGCAGGCAAAAGACCTCTACACTGAAAACTGTCAGACACTGATGGAAAAATCAAAGAAAACACAAATAAATAGAAAGATATAGCTTGTTCATAGATTGGAAGAATTAATACTGCTAAAATTTCCATACTACCCAAAGCTATTCATAGGTTTAATGCAATCCATACCTAGAGTCCAATGGCATTTTTTTCAGACATAAAAGCAACAATCCTAAAATTTAGGTAGACACAAAAAAAAAACCCTGAATAGTCAAAGCAATCCTAGAAAAGAATGAACAAGGCATCACACTTCTGGAATTCAAGCTATATTATAAAGCTATAGTTATCAGAACAGTATCGTACTGGCATTAAAATAGAGGCACTGACCAATGAAAAAGAATCAAGAACCTAGAAATAAACCCAAATATATATATATATGTATATATATACATGTATATATATGTATGTATGTAATATTTGACAACAGAGGCAAAAATACTCAATTGAGAAAAGACAATCTCTTCAATAAATGGTCCTGGGAAAATTGGATCTTCAAATGTAAAAGAATGAAATTAGACCCCTATCTTATACCACTCACAAAAATTAACTGGAAATACCAAACTACACTCCCACCAACAGTGTAGGAGGGTTTCCTTCCCTCCACACCCTCTCCAGAATCTATCATTTGTGGACTTTTGAATGATGGCCATTCTGACTAGTGTGAGGTGATACCTCATTGTAGTCTTGATCAGCATTTCTCTGATAATTAGTGATACTGAGCATTTTTTCCATGTGCCTATTGGCCATTTGTATGTTTTCTTTGGAGAATTACTTGTTTAGGTCTTCTGCCCAGTTTTGGATTGGGTTCTTTGTTTTTTTGTTAAGTTGTATGAGCTGTTTATATATTCTGGAAATTAAGCCCTTGTCAGTTGCATCATTTGCAAATAGTTTCTCCCACTTCATAGGCTGTCTTTTTGTTTTGCTTATGGTTTCCTTTGCTGTGCAAGCGCTTGTAAGTTTAATTAGGTTCCATTTATTTATTTTTGGTTTTATTTCTATTGCCTGGATAGACTGCCCTAGGAGAATACTGTAGTTTGGTGCAGCCATTATGGAAAATAATTTGGAGATTCCTCAAAAAACTAAAAACAGACTTAACTATATGATCTAGCAATCCCAGTCCTGGGCATATATCCAGAGGGAACTCTAATTTGAAAAGATACATGCATGCCAACGTTCATAGCAGCACTATATACAATAGGCAAGACATGGAAACAACCTAAATGTCCACCAACAGAGGACTGGATAAAGAAGTTGTGGTATATTTATACAACTGAATACTACTCAGCCATAAAAAAGAATAAAATATGCCTTTTGCAGCAATATGGATGGATCTGGAGATTATTATTCTAAGTGAAGCCAGCCAGAAAGAAAGAAAAATACCATATGATACCACTTATATGAGGAATCTTAAAAAAAAAAGACACTAATAAACTTATCTACAAAACAGACTCAGACATAGTAAACAAACATGGTTACTTGGGGGAAAGAGGGTGGGAAGGGATAAATTGGGAGTTTGAGATTTGCAGATACTATCTACTATAGATAAAATAGGTAAACAGCAAGTTTATACTGTATAGCACAGGGAACTATATTCAATATCTTTTAGTAACCTATAATGGGAAATATGAAAACAAATATATGTATGTATATGTAAGACTGAAACATTATGCCTTACACCAGAAAAAATCAAAAATAAACTTAGAAATAGATTAAAGACTTAAGTATAAACTCAAAAACCATAAAACTACTAGAAGCAAACATAGGAACCAAGCCCCTTAACATGGGTATCAGCAATGATTTTTTTGTATATGACTCCTAAAGCAAAAGCAAACAAAACAAAGTAAGTGGGATTATATTGAACTAAAAAGCTTCTGTATAGCAATAAACACAAGCAACAAAATGAGAAGAATCTATGGAATGGGAAAAAATATTTGCAAACCAACTATCTGATAAGGGGTTAATATCCAAATATGTTAAGAACTCATAAAACTCAATAGCAAAAACAGGGGGGAAAAATCCAACTAAAAACATGGGCAAAGGACTAGAGCAGACATTTTTCCCAAGAAGATATACGAATGCCCAACAGGTACATGAAAATACGTTCAACATCACTAATCATTAGGGAAATGAAAATCAAAACCACAATGAGCTATCACCTTACACCTGTTAGAATGGCTAGGAACAAAAAGAGATAACAAATGCTGACATGGATATGGAGGAAAGGGAATTCTTGTGGACTGATGGTGCACAAGATTATAAATTGGTACAGCCAGTATGGAAAATAGTATGAAGACTCCTTAAAAAATTAACTACCATATGATCCAGCAATTCCACTTCTGGGAATACATAAGAAATGAAAACACTACGTTGAAGAGATATCTGTCCCCACCCAACCCCTATGTTCAGAGCAGCATTGTTTACATCAGCCAAGACCTGGAAACAACCAAAGTGTCCATCTACAGATGAATGGTAAACAAAGACATAGTATACATAGATACAATGGAATATTATTCAGCCATAAAGAGGGAAGAAATCCTGCCATTTGTGACAACATGGATAGACCCTGAGAGCACTGTACTAAGTGAAATCAGAGAAAGGAGAAATACTGTATGATTTTACTTATATATGGAATCTAAACAAAACAAAACAACTCATAGAAAAATGTTGGGCCCACTGATGTCCTTCAAAGTCCAATGACCCCCATTTCTGGGCTCCCAGATGTCTGCCTGTGATCCCTCTGCAGATGAAGTACATTCTTTACTGGGCATGTTTCCCCTCACAAACTAACAGGCCTAGGGAATGTCTAATCTCACAATAGCTCAGGCTGGTTTGTTTCAGTTCATCTTAATCAGAGTCATAAACTTCACTGCCCTTCATGGACCCTAAACCTCTTACCTCACCTGCAACCAATCAGAGACTTGTGCACAAACCGATCACGCACCTTGTGACCCTATACCTTATGAAACACCCCAACAACCAGCCCTCGGTGTGCACACAGGCACCTCTCATCTGTGTGGCCCGCTGTTGCCGACAGCACCCTAACTATTGACCTTTTCCCTTGTCCTTCACCCCAGTGCTCAGACACGTCTCATCTGTGTGGCCCGCTGTTGCCTGTGACAGAGCACCCTAATAAACTCCTTTTCATTCTTATACTTAAGCTCTGGTAAATTCTTTTACTGAACCCACATCACCATGTCCCTGTACGGGCCGCCCCATTGTGGCCCACAACATTTGGTGGCCCGTATGTGGCTAGGACTCTGGGGGAGCCCTTTGGGCTTCTCCTTCTTTCTCCCCCTCCCTACGGGAGTCTCCCCCTGGCTTAATCAGAAGAAAGCTCTGTACTGCAGGCTAGAATCCTCAGGGCACGCTTCTCTTTTCTGCTTTCTTTTCCTCTCTCATACCTTCCTGCTGCTCCCTAGCGTTCAGAAATTCCCTGAAGTCTTGTGGAGGACTGAGGAACCCCAGCTGGGTTACGCTCAGTGGGCTCTGAAACTTGGTCTGACAGATGGAAATGACCCCTGGGCTGTAGCAGTGAATACACATGGGAAACGTGTATTTTCTTTTCCAAATACTCCTCTCTCCATCTCCCCCTTCTCTATCTCTCCCTTCCTCTGACTCTGGCCCTGGAGACACTCCTTGGTTCTTGGGCCAAACCACATGGTGCACCTCTGCACCTTCTTTCTGCTTTTGCGGTTGATGCCTTCAGAGTGGCCCAGCCTCCAGCCTTTCCTCACCGTGCCAGGTAGAAGTCCCCCACTTTTCCTTTGCTTTTCAGCCCTTGTGCTGGCTCTTCAGCTCTTGCACTAGTTCTGGCCCTTGCACCAGTTGGCTTCTCTTTCTTGGGAGACACCCAAAGTAAGAGAACATCAAAAGTTTAGCCTTTCTCTTTCTTGGGGGATGCCACAAAATAGAATCTGCACTGTTAGCCTCTCTCCCTGGGGTACGATACACCCCAGAATAGAGTCTACACTGGTTTCCTTCTCTTTGCTTCATCTATTCCCTAGGACTCACCTTTGGGTTGCATTCTAAAACACTGGGATAAGTTTGATCCCCAGACATTAAGGAAAAAGCAGCTTATCTTTTTCTGTAATGTCACCTGGCTCCAATACCAACTTTCAGATCAGGAGACTTGGTCCCTTCATGGGACTCTGAGCTATAATACAGTCTTACAGCTTGATTCTTTCTGTTACAAATTGGGCAAATGGTCTGAGGTCCCCTATGTTCAGGCCTTATGGCCCTCTCCCCAAATTTGGATTTTCATAAAACTGCTGCATGTGTCTCTCCAGATTCTCTTCCTGTTTCATTGGACACCTCCTTTAAGGTTTTCAACATTTGAGAGGAAATACTGAGGGCTAAATAGGAAAAAGGAATAAGAAAAGACAAAAGGCTAGCCAGATATATGGTCACCACCATTGCTAATTCTGTGCCAGGACCAGAGAAGTGACTCCAGAAATAATCTAAAGCCCATCAATCCTTTTATCACTCCCCAAACCTCCCCTACTTATTTTAAGAGATTTGTTATGTAGTCAAAAAAAAAAAATCTGATCCTAAGGGAACAAAGTCATTCTAGGAGGAACTTGCCTTTGAGATGCAAATATTCTGCCTGGTCTTCTCCCTTATATCGCCATCTGTTTAAAATGCAAATTTTGAGAAAGGGGGCGAGGCATAGCCAACAAAAAGCTGTCTTGCCCTTGGGGATTGTAACAAAGTTTAATTATTACAAAACCACTATAGGTTGGTTTCTAAAGCTCAGTAATCTAAATGCATTTCATGATCTAACACAGTTAAATTAATCCAATTGTTAGGTTTCTGGTCAACTACCTACATCCAGTACTTCTGGGTTACCTTGGTGGATTTCTCCCCAAGGGTCTAATCCGTAGGCACTTGGAAATTTATTCTAGAAAAAAGAATTTATAGTTTTGTTCTGGCCCCTAGTATTACTAAGTGGGATTCCCTCACCTGGCCAATTAATATCTGCTCTAATCCTGGCCATAAATATGAATTTTCTATTAAAGCTAGTCAAGCTCCATCAGACTAACAAGTAGCAACTTGAAGCACTTAACCAGATATATAGTTCCATAGGAGATTTGTAATTATACTAGTGTAATCCTACACATGGGAAGAAGCAACATGAGGTGGTCAAGACTTTTCGCTACTGTTAATAAGGCCTAGTCCAGTAATAGCACACTGAGCGGCCTGTCAGTGAGATCCTCGCCTGACCTAGGAATGATCCTAGCACTGTGGGACACAATGATCATGAAATGCCTCCCAAGCCACGGTCGAATTTATCATCATGAGGGCACCTTCCATCTGCCTCTACAAGGATTAAGTCGCAAGCCACTGAAGTCGCTGACCTGCATCACACCCTGTCAGGCTCAGGGTGGAAATCAGGAATGAGGCCCTCTGTGCTCTGGGAAAACTGCCAAAATAGGTCTTCAGATAATTAGATATTTTCAGGAGATTTTATGAACCCAAATTCTTTCATTTCCTCATATCTAGAACAGCACTAAGATCATTAATGGTGACATCTACTTTGGCCATTAAAGAAAGCTGTCTTACAAAACCACATGGCTCTTAATATTCCACCTAAGGGTGCCCATTCACAGTAATATGTACTGAGTGCTGTACTTTTACCCCCAGTGAGTCAGCTATGTCAATGCTTATAGAAAAGTAGTCACCGAACAGGTCTCTGACATGTTCTCCAGTGCCTTTTCCTAGATCTCTGAAGGGATAAGGTCTTTCTTTTCAGACATTCTCAAATTTCTTGTTTTTACTGGGTTTAGCTACTTAGTACCCTCCTACTTCTTTTTTTTTTCCAGTTTCATTAGGTAGAATTAATACAGTTTGACTGTATATATACATTATATTGTATGTTAATACATATATACAATATGCTGCACATATTTTTTAGTTTACATATATGTACTAATCATTGTTTCTAAGAACAGATTAGAGCTTTAGCTTTTTAAACTTACATAGTTATCAGAGGAATAAAGCCAATCACAAAATAAGAATCAACAGAATGGTTATTCACCTACTTTTGTGTTGTGATGTTCTTAGGTTATATTGTATGAGAAAATGTTATTACTATAGATGTTCTAGAAATTATATAAAGTCCCTAAATACCTGGTATGTCTGAAACGTTACCAGTCATAATTCTGGTTATTGTAACCAGATTTCTTTATCAATTACAGTGTAACTGTTAGAGCAAGCAGATAGCTAGATAAGAGTA